CCCAGCATCTCCAGTCTTCCAAAAGCCCTCTTAACCAACTGAAATGAACTGCCCCGGCTGACTGGCGGCAGAGCAATAATAATAAAAAAAGGGGCTCCCGGGCATGGCCCGGTGGCGGGGAGGGGGGGGGTACCACTCACCATCGCAAGAGCAGCGCACGTTTCGGTAGAAGCGAGGACAGACGAAACTGATGCGCGCGGTGCTGTAGGTCATCAGGGAATGGGAATCGATGGACAGGCTCTGCTCGCAGTGCTGCTCCTGGCAATCCATCCCCGAGCAGTTCTTTTCCAGGATGGCCGAGATGCGGATCACGTTTTCCAAGTGTCGCCTCGCATTGGTGAGCTTCTGTATCAAGTAGGCCGGCTTATAGAAACCGCCGGCGTGCATCTGAACAGCAAACAGCATGTCGAGCTGAGCGGTGCCGGCCACGGGCTGGATGCTGATGATGTGCAGGCTGTCTTGCTTCTGGGTGAGGACGGCGTTGCGGAGGGTGCGCCTGAACCCGTGCATGTGGAGCCCCACAAAGTCCTCGGGGGAGACGTTCTCGAAGCGGATGGTGACGGTGTTCTGCAGCATCTCCTGCACTAGCTGCTCGACGTGGACCGTCACGTCCATGGGCACCTGGAACCGCCCGTCGCTCACGGACACGTTCAGGACGTACTTCCCGCTATCCAGCCCTCCGAGGGCGATGATCTTTCCGTCGTGGTGGTTGACCTTGAACAGACTCTTCTGCTCCGACTTCAAGCCGTACGTGAGAACGTCGTACATGTCCTGGTCCGTTGCGTGAATCTTCCCGATCACACCACCTGGGAAATCATCTTCCATAGTGACAATAAAGATCTCCAGGGGAATGGCTGTGGGCTTGTGGATGCTTTCTTCAATCACTCGGATCTGGATGTAGGTTTGGGAGGTCTGCTGAGGCTTCCCAGAATCCTTTGCCTGATGAAATATATTAGAGATTTGTTTTAGAGGCGGGAAAAAGCCCTCGCTGTAAATACTGGCCTAACTTTACCTTAGCATCCCTTTGACAATTTCGGGATCTTTGTTCTTTAAACTCTGGATTCCCAAGATGCCCTTGGGTTAAGGGAGGGGACTTCCACTCATACAAGGATGGATCTGAGCTTTTCATGGATTTCCCAACTGAAGCTGCATCTCCTCTTTTCCCCACCATTGCTGAGGGGGACTTCAGCACATTTTTTGGTAGCTTAGGAGGCTGCAGAACAGGGGTCCCCAATGTGGGCACCACGGCACCTGCCAACATTTTTCCAGGTGCCGAAGAAGAAGAAGAGGAGGAGGAGGAGGGGGAGATTGGATTTTTACCCCACCCTTCACTCAGAGTCTCAGAGCGGCTTACAACCTCCTTTCCCTTCCCCTCCCCACAACAGATACCCTGTGCCCATGCTCCATCTAAGCTGTGGAGTCTTGTGAGCAAAAATCCTACTTTGTGAGCGACTGGCATTAAAGTTGTGAGTGAGCGATTTGGCTACTGCATAAATTAGTTTGCTCTGGAGCCCTCCTTCCTGAGCGAAGACAAAAATGTGTGAGCCAAAGGCTAAAAAACTGTGAGCTAGCTCACACTGACTCAGCTTAGAGGGAACACTGCCTGTGAGGTAGGTGGGGCTCTTTCGAGAACTGCTGCGAGAGAACTTGTAACTGTCCCAAGGTCATCCAGCCAGGTGCATTTGGAGGAGTGGGGAATCAAACCCGGTTCTCCCAGGTTACAGTCCGCTGCTCTTAACCACTCCCCCAAACTGGCTCTCAAATGTTTTTAGAATGTGGGTGGGGCCAGGAGGGACTCTTTCCAGCAAGGCTTCTTATTGGCCACGGGAGATCTGATTGGCAGTGCAGATTCAAATAACGTTTTGGGGCAGCTGCCACCAGTTTTGGTTTTATTCTCACACACTCCTCTTTCCCAGTGTAGTTAAAAAAAAAAAAATCACCCCTCTTCTTCTTTGCACTTGGGCTTTTTGTAATTTTTTCCCCTTGCTATAGAGGTAGGCCTTTCCTATATTCTTGTCCATTCATATGCGGAAAAGAAAAAGAAAAGATAATCTTATAGCGTTAATGTCAGCTACTTCCCAAAACTCCAGTTCATGCAAATGATTTGGAAGGCAGCTGGTTATCCGATCATCTATATGGCATTCAGATATGCTAATATGGGTTGTATAAAAGAATTCAGGGAGATATATTATTATAAATAAGTGGCATGGATATATTGGTAAGATAATTCTCTGACGAGCTAAGGGCTCTTTTTGTAGCAGGAACTCCTTTGCATCTTAGGCGACACACCCCTAATTGTAGCCAATCCTCCAACGCCTAAGATGCAAAGGAGTTCCTGCTACAAAAAGAGCCCATGTAAGAATGACTTCTGGCCACTTCTTGCGGGGGCGGGTATAAGTAACACAGTACCTGAACACAGAGCACATATTCGGTCGCTACCATGTGCTTGAACACCACCGCTGAACGCAAGACGCCTTGTGGGTCTAGTGTGAACTCCTCCTCTTCGTTGCCCGCCAAGATGGAGAAGGTGAAAGGGGGCCCGTTGTGCAGGGAGTCTTTGTCTGTCACCACCAGCTGCAAAATGCTCGTTCCCACCGGTTTGTTTTCCTTTTGTGTAGACGCACAATGTAGATGCGGAGGGGGGAAAAAAGAGAGAGGGGATTTTAATTACCCATCTTGGCATGCTGCTGAGACAAACATGTTTCCTGCCTAGAATATGCAAGAACGTGGTGTTTCTGCAACAGAAGGGACTGTTTTGGGCAGTGCTTCCGTCCCGTCCTCTTCGGTTTGGGTCTTCGAATGCTGCCTGAGAAGGGCCCGTGGGTGTCGACTTTACCGGCTTGTACAACACGAAAGGACTTGTTTGCACAGTCATTTAGAACAAAGCTGGTATTCATGAACTAGGGTTGGTTTTCGCATACGCTCAGGGACGGCCCTACTATTAAGTGGGGTGAGATGGGCCCCCTTGGGCCCTAGATCTGGTGGTGAAATGTACCGTCAAATTGCAGCCAGTTTATGATAACTTCACAGAGTTCTCAAGGCAAGAGACCTTGACAGTATGGACCGCCGGGAAAAGAAGCCACCACGATCCGTCTCGAACACCAGATGGAAGTGCCGACCCAAAGACCTCATAAGAAGACCTCACAAACAGTGCCAAGCCGGAGAAACAATAATGCCCACGACTAGGGTGCCGGTAGGTAGCCCCTCTCCCTCACTATGTGGCCATAGTTAGGGATAGTAACATTGAAACCTGTAAACCGCCCAGAGACCCTCCGGGGTCAGGGCGGTCTAGAAATCGAAGCTATAAATAAATAAACCTGAGGGACCGCCTTTCCCGGGCCCCAAGGATACCAAACTAGCTGCTACTAGGACCAGGGCTTTTTCGGTGGCGGCTCCTACCTGGTGGAATGAGCTTCCAGGGGAGATCCGGGCCCTGCGGGATCTGATGCAGTTCCACAGGGCCTGCAAGACGGAGCTCT